CTGAGCCAGCTTTCTAGCGCAAGCCTCAATTAAATGCTGTCTTTCATAAGAATTGTCTTGGTCATGTTTCTCTTCACAGCCATAGAACAATGACTAAGACAGAAGTAGGTACCAGAGATTGGAATATACTATGACAGGCCTGACCATGCTCCTTGTTGGAAGGATGTGGACTTTGAGACTTTGGACTAGAAAAGTAGTTGTTATTATTTATGTATTTCTTTATGTAATTAATTAATTAATTTCAATTTATTCACTTTGTATCCTGGCTGTAGCCCCCTCCATCTCTTCCCAGGTCCACCCACCCTCCCTCTTTTCTCCCTCTGCCCCTTCCCTAGTCCACTGATAAGGGAGGACATCCTTCCCTTCTATCTGACCCTAGCCTATCAAGTCTCATGAAGGCTGGCTGCATCAACTCCCTCTGTGGCCTGACAAGGCTGCACACCCCAAGAGGGAGGTGATCAAACAGTTGGCTACTGAGTTCATGTCAGAGACAGCCCCTGTTTCCCTTACTAGGGAGCCCACTTGGAAACTGAGCAGGGGTCTAGGTCCTCTCCATGGATGGTTCTTGGTTGGAGTATTGGTTGCTGCAAGACCCCCTGGGCCAAGTTATTTTGGCTTTGTTGGTCTCCTTATGGAGTTCCTGTCCCTTCCGTGTCTTTCTATCGCCTTCTTTTTAAGTGGGGCTTAATGGGCCGTCCTAGAAGGAGCAAAGGCAATGGTGCTGAGGCACTGTGGACAGTGGGGTCCAAAAACAAGAAGTTTCAGGGGGGAAGAATATTAATAAGTGGCCTAGAGACCAGTCTTGTGATATTCTGGTAAAGAATGGAGCTGGTTTTTGCCCTTGTCCTAAAAATCTGCCGAAAAAATCGAAGTTTTAGATTAATGAAATTTGCAGAGAAGATTTCAAGACAGACTAATATTGACTGTATTCTGTGGTTATTAGTAATCGCACTAATGAAGACCTATAATGAAAAGGAGCAAGCTGGACAAAGAAAAATACAAAATGTACAGTTTATTAAACGTTTAAAGAAAAGTCTGGTGCTCAGTGAAATAAAGGGAGTGGCGATCTCAGTGCAAGACCTCTCCCTGATAAGCTTCCAACTTGTGAAAAAGAATTAAAGAAAAGTGTAAGTTTTGAAGGAAACTATCAACAACAGAAAGCTGATGCAAATGTAATCGGACAGGAGGCCAAGTTCCAGCCCCCTCAAGCAGCAGAACATGGCAGCATCCCTTTGTGGTTCTGCCTTAGAGTCAAGAATACAAGAAAGGATTGTGCGATTTCTCTCCAAGGCTGAGAAAGGCTGTGAAGCCAGGTATGTGTCAGAGGTGTCCCTGCATGGAGGCCCAGAGAGGCTACAAAAATATGAAGATGAAGCCTGGATTTCATGGGAGACCTCAAGACGTTGGAATGCCAGTGACTTGGAATACCTGCCGAAGAGAGCTGCAGAACAGGTATGAAACCAGCCCAAGAGAAGAAACTGTGTTGAACTCAACAGAGATGAAAGTTGTTGGACATCTGAAGAGCTCTTTGACATTACACACGGAGATGCAGAATTTGGAGTTTATTCTGCAGTTTTTGTTTGTTTGTTTGTTTTATCTTTCTTCATTCCAGAATTTTCTCATTATGCAAGTATGTGATATGCCTTTTGAGATTACAGGGCTTACAGTTAAGATATGAGCCTCAGAGGGACTTTGAACTTTGGAATTTTAAAGTGTTGAGACTGTCAAAGACTAGGGAAACTTTTGAAGTTGGGCTAAATGTTTTTTTGCATTATGATACTGTTATAAGCCCATAGGAGCCAGGTAGTAGTGGTTTGAAAAAGAATGGCTCTCATACGGTTATAGATTTGAATGTTAAATCACCAGGAAATAGCACTACTTGAAAGAAAGAGAAAGTATAGGAGGTGTGGCCTTGTTGAGGGAAGATTGTCACTGGGGGGTGGGCTTTGATGTTTCAAAAGCCTTTGCCAGCTCCAGGTTCTCTCCCTCTGCCTATGGATCAGGGTGTAGCTTTTAGCTCTAGCTCAAATGCCTGCTTGCTTGTTGACCTGTTTTTAGCAATGCTGATAATGGACTAAACCTCTGAAAATGTAAGGCAGACCCAACTAAATGCTTTTTTTCATAAGGGTTTATTAATTTCTAAATATACAAATATATTTTTTACTCAAACTGGAACATGCTTTACTTACTAATTTGTCATTATTTTCCTCTAGATAAACTATATCATGGGTATCTTTTAAGATAAGTGTCATGATTTTTACTTTATCTTTGTTTGTGTGTATGTGCCCACGCACGCTTGTAGCTATGCATTTATGTGTGTGCATATGATTGTAAGGGCATACATGTATGTGGAGGCCGGAGATTGACACTGAGTGTTTTCCTCTGTCACTCTCAATCTTTTTTTTTTTTTTTTATTTCAGCTTTATTTTGCCTATGGATGTTATACCTGCATGTATGTGCACCAAGTACATGTCTGGTATCCACGGATGTTGAAATTGGCATTGACTCCATGAGAACTGGAGCTAAAGACAGTTGTGAGAAACCATGTGGGTGCTAAGAGTTGAACCCAGGTCCCTTGGGGAGGAAAAAAAAAAAAAAAAACCTCTCAGTGCTTATAACCACTGAGTAATCTTCCTTGCCTCAACTCTCCGTTTTTGTTTTTGAGGCAGGGTCTCTCATTGACTCTGGAGTTTACTGCTTGGCTAGACCAGCTGGCCAAAAAGTCCAGGGATCCTACTGTCCCTGAACCTGGAGTGCTGGGGTTATAATAGGTATACCCTGCCACACTCAGCCTTTTATGTCTGTTCTGAGAAATCAAGTTCAGTTTTTCCTGGTTGTATAATAAGCGCTTAACTGACTGAGCAATCTCTACAAGCTCCTTAGTCCAAGTCTTTAATGGCTGCATAGCATTCCATATAATTCATCACAGTTTAAGTTTACATTGATCAGAGTGTAGGCTGTTTCTCATTGTTTTCAGTTACACGAAGCAATGAATATCTCTGTATATATTGTTCTTATGTATACATGTGGGCATTTTGGTATAATTTGTGCTAATTTTCAATTTATAGTTAAAAAAGTTACTTAACATTCATTAGTAGCAGATAAAAACAAAATTTACATGTTTTAATTCTAATAATTTCTATCTTAGCCACACTTTCTATAACAAAATTTGAATCTAAGTATTTGCATTCATTCTGCTCACTACAAGGCATACCAAAAGGTTGCACTGTCAAAGCAAGTATTTCAACCAATAATGCTGCAACACTTTGGGGTGTTGAAATGCTTAAAATAGAAAATTTAAATTAGAACTTTCAAATGAGATAGAACTACAGATGTCAAAGTGTAGCCTTTAGCAGGATGTTGAAGAGCAGATTCCTTCCAGCATTCCTCATATTGATATCAATATCCAGCCATGAGCAAATGTTGCAGGAATGTTTAATGTGTCTGTAGGCAGTTGGGCTTGATTTGTCTTATTTTAGGGAGCTGTGTCCTAAGTCAGTTAATATTTTCTTATGTCATTTGTGCATTCTCTCCAACAGATTTGATAGGATAGATGGAAATTTCTGTAAATGTGTCTGGATCATTCCAATCATAATAGCTTAATGGAACCCTACAACTTATATAAGGAGGAGAGTATTTGCCAGAAGCACAGAATATTCTGTTGGTATATAGTCTGAGAGTATTAATTTTTGCTGTAATATCTTTGAGTTCATTTAATCAAACTAGTTTATGACATTTAGTTTAATTATCTAGCTTGGTTACAAAGCCACAGCGTATAGAAATAAGAGAGAACTGGAACGGTCTCCCTCACACAGTGGGTGGATGAGCCCTGATAAACAGAACTAAGAATATCTACCTTTTGTTAGCAAAAGTGAATTTGTGGATTGAGATTCTATCTGGAGAGAAGTAATGTGTATTTTTCTTATTGCACAAAGTGCTCAAATCTCCAGGGTTTCTTCAGCTGCCACAGGAGAGTGGTGGGAGATGACACTGTCATTGAAATTTGCATCACTTTATGTAGTACTGTGTTGGCAGAAAAGAAAATGTGAAGGAAGCATGAAATCTTGATTAAGAGTTCAATGCTAGCCCACAGTCATGTAGGTTACATGGGACAACCTTGGGGAATCTGCAGAATCATTTAGAAAGGCCTTGGTATTAAATAAAAAAGTCATGTATTGACTCCTTCAAGGAAAAGACATAACGATGCATCTATTCATTGTGGATGTACTAGTGTGACATTTAAAGTAACATTAGCACATGCAAAGTGTACTTCCATATTGAAAGGGTTATTTGGAATTTTTAAGAGTTACTTTGTTTTTAATTCTGTGTACATGTATGTATTTGCATGTGTGGTATGTACATGAGTGTAAAGGCCCACAGAGGCTGGGAGAAGGCATGAGGTCTCTCAGAGTAGGAATTAGAAGCAGTTGTGAACCATTGGGTGCTGAGAACTGAACTCAGGTCCTATGGAAGAGGAGTATGTGCTCTTAACCTCTGAGCCATTCCATCAGTCCCAAGTTGTTTTTGTTTTAAATATATGACTAAAAATGACTTAAATGTGTTCTCTGAAAGGAAAAGAAAACAAGCCCAAGCAAATGAGACAAGAGTAAACACACTGCTGTTTTTCTTATAAAAATTACATGTCACTTTTCAGAAGTGACATGAACTACAAAGTCGTGGGCTGTGGTGAGTACTAAATTCCTAGGAAAGTAAGCCATGCTAAGTCCTATGTTAACACAATTTTAAAGAGCCACAAACCAACACAATGTTATTAGTGAGAGAGCAAGATTACTGTGTGTTAACTCTCACACATTTTCATGGTTTTATCAAGTGAACAGTCTTTAAATTATACTATCTACATGACAGGGTAAGAACAACCAAACCAAACCAAACAAAACAAAACATCTGTGAATCCTTTTCTGCCCAAGCAAATTCATGTGTGATGAAAATAAGGCTATTACAACATTTTAAAAGCCAGATGATCTATGTGTGCGGCTTACCTTTCTCTTGCGTAGTCTGACTTGATTGTCTACAGTCTCCTGGGTGGTCACTGGGCCCCTTACGTGTAAACACTGCATGCCATCTTCTGTGCTGACCTTGAGAGGGCTTCTGTTTTGATGTTCTGAGAACCCACCCTTCTCCAGGTCATTTTCTGCTGACATTCCACCAGGGCAGGAAGGAGGCTGCAGAAGGCAGCTTCCGCAATCTGCTTTTAATAATGGCAGTCCTCTGTCTGCATAAGGAGCAGCCAAGAAGTCTTCTTCCACTACACGGTGCTGATTTTTTCCCTGTTCCTCTTTAGGGAAGTCAGGTTTCCTTCGTTGCTGAGCGATCGTTGCAGAATTAAGCAGTTGTGTGTCTGGTGCAGTATCTTTCACATCCAAAGAACCAAATGTGTTTACTTTGGGCCCATCTTTTGTTTCACTCGAGCTTATATTCTTACGGAGCTCCAGGCTTTTACTTATAGCATCGACATCTTCTCTTTCCTCAGTTTCCTCTGCTGGAGACACAGCAGCTTCACCAGCCATCCTCCAGGAGTTATGAGAATCTTGGTTAGTCTGCACGGTGGACAGTGTCTTCATGAAGAAGCCTGCTCCCTCGACACCACCTTTGCTGTCTCTTTCATGTCTTTGGGGAGTTAAAATCTGTGAGTCATCAATAAGGTGGAGATCAGCGTCAGCATCCTCATCAGAAATATGCACTAGTGTCTCTGTGCTGGCCTCTAGTGATAGAAACTGCTCTTCCCCTTCCTGGCTGTCACTCTCATCTACCTCCTGTGAAATGTGACCCATTGGCCTCCCAGGAAAGTCTCTGGTCTCCGACCCACAACAGCAGTCTGGCAGAGAGGCACACTTCTCTTTATGGTCCACATTTAAGGTTTCATCTTTTTCCATACTTGCCTGCAAGCTGTCGGATACAAGTCCGTGATGACATGCTATGTCATACTCATCAGAATTAAAAGGCTGTTCAGTCTGCTGTGTCACATGCTCTTCCCAGCTCCTCTTTCTGATAGCTACAGACATGTCATCATAGTTTAACAACAGACAAGAAGATGCATTCCATGTAGCACTCAAGGGAATGGAACTTGGTGAATGATGACTGTGAATTCATGGATCAAGGAAGTGTGTGTGATCTGCCATTTTGCCAACTGTTAAAAAATTGAAAATAGGCTGTTATAGATACATTTCCAAGGTAAAAATATTTTGTGGCAAAGAATCTAATCTGTGCTATGAAGCAGAGGTAAGAAATTACACAAAACGCTTTTGCTTAATAGCTTTTATGGTTTTGTTTCTCAGAAACAGTCTGATAGTAGAGAAAACTTTGTGTTTTGTATTTTTAGGCAAAATTTATCAGTACTTAAAGAATCAACAGGGCTGGTTTATTAATGAATAAAGATCTAAGTGCCAAAACATTTTAAGCTCCGTTAAGAAAATAGTTGGATTGTGATACTTAATAAAATTCACTGGAAAAACTAACTTGTTGCTCCAGCTTTGCATGCTTTCCTGATTTACTTTTCTGAACAAAAGCCATTAAGGAAATTGATTTGCTGTTTGGTTTAAATTGAAACAAAGGCCACCAGGGAATCAGACCTGCAAGACTTGGGCAACAGAGACAGCATATGCAATGCATTAGTGTGTAAAAGAACTTAGACCGGTCCCAGTGATCAGGATGTCTGCACCCCAGGGAGTAACAGAGAAGCAGCACAACACAATTTAGTTCAGATTAACTTGCAACTGATGGATAAGAAAGCATGATGTATTCCATTAGAAGGGTTTAGCATACGTACTTCTATCCATATACTCATTTTCTGGCATTACTAATACCACGGCAGTATTGTCAAAGCCTAAAACAATATGTAAGTATTCAAAGTAATAGGTCTAGGACGTGAGCCGATGTTTAAATTAGGCCAAGCTTCTAAGACCCAGGCTCAAATAACCAAGGGAGTTCACTGTCTCCATAGAATTGTGATGTTTTAACCTTCATCATCTTCCCTCGTGTCTTCACTATGTATGAACTCTAGCTCCCTCCCCATGAAAGAATTCAAGTGAACCAAAAAAGAGATGTGAGTATCATTAGACAATTAGGACCAGTCTTCAAATACTGAAGTCTAATTCTCTTTCCTTGGAAAGGAGTTAGTACATTGCTGCTAAGGATTTGGACCATATGAATTTAAGCAAACAACAAAATCACGTGTAAGATAAGGTCAGAATGTAAGAACTTGCCAGGTCTCCAGCCTTCTATGCTGAACCATTTAAACTAGTTAAAGCCAACAAGTTGTATCTATGTTAAAGCCAGTCTTCTAAAACGGGCTAACTCAAATGTCAATCTACAGTGAAAACAAATTACTAGACTGTGAATGAAAACTCCCATTGAAAGAACAGGTATTTTTCAGTTACTTTTCTACACAGGAACTGCCAGCATATAATGTTGCTCTTGCCATAAACCAGATTAACTGCTCAGCTGGCTTTAACACCATCTTTTGAAAAGGACTCTGACTACCCACCGAAAATTTCAAGTTATTCCTGCTAAGCACATGTTTGAAAGGTAAATAATTCCCCCCCATATCTACGGGTGGAATGAAGATGTGCTAGCATTTTGGTAACTTGGCCAGACCAAATACCTTTCTGGATACTTTTTTTTTTTGTTGTTGTTCCATCAGAGGTCTGTGGCCATCTTTGAAAATGTCCATCACATTTTCCGTGTTGGCATTCACCTTGCACTGAGAAGAAAAACATAAAGCTTCTGAATTCCATGCATAAGTCATTATAGTGTAGGAGGCAATGGAAAGTGGAAAAAAAAAATGCTCAGATGCAGGCCAGCACATTTCTGCTTTCATGGGCAAATTTGGGTTGTAATAGGGTGGTTTTAGATGCTTTCTTTTCTTTATTTTTATCCAGTGTAGAAGAAATAGGCTAACTTAAGAAATGCCAAGTGGTATTACTGTGTCATTCCTAAGCCCATTTATGTTTAGGTTGTGCCTGAATTCTGGCTTTACTTCTTTTACTAAAAAAAAAATGCAGTTCTTTGAGCTCCTCAGAAACTTTGAGCTGAATCTGAAAAATCAATACACAGTTATTTTTTTCTTCTATGAGCATATTATAGTTATAATTTACTTTACTCAGCCATAGCAAGTAGGCAAGTGTTCTATAGTTCAACAAATTCAGAAACGATCTAACAGCACACAGAGATTATAAATATATTAGGTTCAATGTAGTATGACTCTGCCCTCATTTCTGATTTAGGCTTTGGGGGCATTTCATTTTAAAATAATTTTTATGACTCCATGCTGTCTATCCTTAGGATAAAATATTTTCTACTTATCATTATGATCATCATCATTATAGTTTCAACATCTATTCCATCATCTGTGGCCTGATAGGTTTTAAAACATTTCATCTCCATCATCTTTCCTACATACACCGCTTTTTCTTTTTTTGTGTGTGTGCAGCTTTTATCGAGACAGGGTTCCTTCATTTATCTTTGGCTGTACTGCACTTGCAATGTAGACCAGGCTGGCCATGAACTCACAGAGATCCTCCTGCCTCTGACTCCCTGAGTGCTGGGATTACAGGCATGTGCCAGTGTGAGCAGCTACCCACACATCTTATTTAAATCTATTTTAATTTCATAGTTAAATCTTCCACCTAAAGCTCAAAAAATCATTAATAAATAGAAGCATTGTATATTGGCACTGCATCTTAGCATACTAGCCTGGTTTTCTAAATGCTCTCAATTGACTAAAATCCATGCTGTCAGGTCTTTCTAAAAAGCCTAACTTTTCCCAAGGAATTCTATAACAAGCTATCCACAAAGGGCCTCTGAATGGCTCTACCCTGCAGGGTATCAAAGCAGATGCTGAGACTTATGGCCAACCTTTGGGCAGAGTGCAGGGAATTTCATGAAAGAAGTAGGAAATAATAAGACCTGGAGAGGACAGGAACTCCACAAGGAGAGCAACAGAACCAAAAAATCTGGGCACAGAGTTCTTTTCTGAGACTGATACTCCAACCAAGGACCATTCATGGAGATAACCTAGAACCCCTGCACAGATGTAGCCCATGGCAGTTCAGTGTCCCAGTGAGTTCCATAGTAATGGGAACAGGGCCTGTCCCTGACACGAACTGATTGGCCTATTCTTTGATCACCTCCTCTTGATGGGGAGCAAACTTACCAGGCCGCAGAGGAAGACAATGCAGCCACTCCTGATGAGACCTGATAGACTAGGATCAGAAGGAAGGAGAGGAAGACCTCCCCTATCAGTGGACTTGGGGAGGGGCATGCATGTAGAAGGGGGAAAAATGGAGGGATTGGGAGGGGAGGAGGGAGGGAACTACAGGGGGGATACAAAGTGAATAAAGTGTAATTAATAAAAATTAAAAATAAAAAAATGGAAAAAATATCTTTCAAACTACTGACCATGATTCTACATATTTCTGTCACATTTTTTCCCAAATCCTTTTCAGGAAGTTTTATGCAAAATGAGCTCAGCTGTTGAGGATTTAGATGGAGGATCAGGAAAAGTATAGGTCATCGCAGGGTGTTGATTTTATGAATTGAATTTCCATGGGAGTTTTTAGTTATTCAATGCACGTGTTCAAATATCACTGTTTTCATGTTATTAGAGACTCTCCAGACTTCTAGTCATGAAAATGTCCTAGAAAATCTTTGTGAGATGTTTAAAGCCACTTTTTCGTAATATTAGTCCATAGAATGTGTAGCTTGAAAGTGATTTCAAATTTGTTGTTTGTGTAATTTTGTAATACTACTCCTTTTTATTTTGTTTTTTTGAGATAGGGTTTATCTGTGTAGCCTTGGTTGTCCTGGATTCACTTTGCAGATCAGACTGGTATTGAATCCACAGAGATCCTCCTGTCTCTTCCTCCCCGAGTGCTGAGGTTACAGCGTGCACCACTGTGCCAGCTGTTACTTTTGCTCCTTAACATAAACATCTCATGACATGCAATATGTATTTCTGGGTCAGGCAGCACTGAACGTTATAACATCTAAAAATGAGGAAAAGAAAAAGTCTAGTTTGAGAATCACTGGTCCGATCACACTGCAGTTTTATTTCCTTCTGAAATACACAGACCACTTTCATAATTGATTGGTGTCAACTCTTCATCGTGCAAGAAGTAGGAGTAAGTGAGGCCCCTGTAACTGGAACAGCATGTGGCAGTACTCGGTGGACAGCCGTATAAGTGCGTGCAATCACTATTAAAACTCCATTTACTGTCTAAAGAATGATACACATTGTTCTGAACATAGAAAAGAGAAATGTAAATATTGTATTCTTTCTTTCTTATTGCACCTTTAAAAACTATTCATTACAATTTATTCAGTTTTTATCCCAGTTGTAGCCCCCTCCTTCATTCCCTCCTAAGCCCACCCTCCCTCTGTCCTTCTCCTCCCATGCCACTTCCCCAGTCCACTGATAGGCAAGGTCCTCCTCTCTTTCCATCTGATCCTAGCCTATCAGGTCTCATCAGGACTGGTTGCATTGTCTTCCTCTGTAGCCTGGTTAGGTTGTCCCCCTCCCTCTTAGGGGGAGGTGATCAAAGAACCAGCCCCAGAGTTCATGTCAGAGACAGCCCCTGTTCCCCTTACTAGGTAGCTCATTTGGAGACTGAGCTGCTATGGGCTAAGGGGAGCAAAAGAACTTATGCACCTTTTAATTTTGTGAGAGTTACTCATATAAATAAAACAAGTAGCATCACTGATGGATTAAAATATCATGAAAACGTTCACATCATTTGGGAGCATCATCCCCTTTGGCCCCTTTCCTTCCTTATCTTCTTCTTTTTTTTTTTTTTTTTTTTTTTTTTTTAACAGAGAGTGATATTGAATGTGGTAAATGGGCTAGATAAATCTTCACAGTGAAATCTTTTCTGGTTCATTTTCTGCCTTTACAACATCTAATTCTAATGCTAAGTTTGTTAGAGTTTCCTACTGGATGAAGAGAATCTTCTGTTTCCAGAAACTTGTTATTCTAGGACACCCTTTGGGAAAGATAATAGATGCAGAAACAAATGCTAGAAAATTATTTTAATTTTAAAATTTATTAGTCCACAGAGAAATGTCCTTCCTATGCAGTAGTTCATAAAACAATGAAGGGAATCTTTTCTTCAATGAGATATATGAGCAAAGTAC